GTCTTTTTTCTTTTTGTTGTTCTGATTGGGTGTATTTTGCTACCTTGTCTTCCAATTCGCTGATTCAATCTTCTGCTTTGTCTAATCTACTGTTGAATCCTTCTAGTGTATTCTTCATTTCAGTTATTGTATTTCTCATTTCTGTCTGGTTCTTTTTTATGATTTCTATGTCTTTTTTTTATGCTGTTGAGATTCTCGTTCTCATCCATTCTCCCCATAATTTCGTTGAGCATCCTTATAAGCATTATTTTGAACTCTGTCTTTGGTAGGTTGCTTACTTCCATTTCATTTAGCTTATTTTCTGGAGTTTTCTCCTGTTGTCTCATTTGTGGCATGTTTCTTCATTTTCTCATTTTATTAGCCTCTCTGTGTTCGTTTGTATGTGTCAGGCTTGGCCAGATGGCCTAATGTGGAAGGTGTCTTGTGTGGCCCAGTGGTGCACTCTCCCTGATCCCTTATGCTGGGGCCTCTGGATGTGATCTTTGGATTGTGTGTGATCTTCTGTTGTCGCCAAGCCTTTATTGTTGTTAGTAGATCAGTGGATGGGATCAGTGCTCAGGCTAACTAATTGTGGGAATTGGCTGCACCCACAGGGGAAGAGTTGTTATGTGGGGGCTGACCCCACTGAATGGGATTTGCCCTAGCAGGCTTGTGTACTTGTTGCAACCACCCTTTGTGTCTATCACTAATGGGACTAGTCAGGAGTTGCTCCGTTGTGATGCGAGCCTCCAGATGTGTTAGTTTTGTGGCCCCTTGGTAGGGCCTCTCCTTTAGGCCAAGATCAGCCACTGCTTTTGATTGCTCAGGGATACCCAGTGAGAACTACAAAGCGATCCGCAGATGGTTGTTGCTTATGCTGTATCGGCTTTAATGTGGCTCTTTTATAATATCAGACGTAGGTGTTATGATCCGTTGGACTTCAGGTGATTCTCCATGTTGATTATTTTATAATTTTGTTGTAATTTTAATGCAGACCTGAGAGGAGATGAACCCTGCTTTTACCTAGTCCACCATTTTCCTCTCTGTCTCTGTTACACATTTCTAATTGCTGTCTCAAAATGAAACTAAAGACATGATTTGAACTCTAATATTTGGCAGTAGGCTCCATATGTGCTTAAGAAGTTCTTTAAGCTTCCATGTTCTATATTTTGAGAGTGAAGTAAGCTTTTAGTAAGAATAGTCATAGTTTAAAAGAAAGGAATATTCATTATGTCTTCAGCACTTATTTTAAGTAGTTGCCTGAGCATGTGTAAGCATCACAGTAAAAGACAAGTTGTTCTCCAGGTTGTATGCTTTCTTTTCCTAATATCTTTTGATGTAATACAGAAACCTATATATTCTGTTGGCCCGTGTGACATGTCAGTGGGAAAGAATTGTCCTCCTTCTGACCAGTTCCACCACCTTGGGAAACAATAATACTTAATGTTTGTTAATATTTGTTTAGCAGTTTGCCATTTAAAAAGTACTTTCACATACCTTAAGTTAGTTAATCTGCACAAAAATCCTTTGCTGATGAAGTCGTAGTAGTACTGATATCTCCTGTTGAATGCTTCCTCTATACTACGCTCAGGATAAATGATTACAATTACTAATTTTTCAGGTTGTGAAATCGATACTCAGAAAAAGAAGAATTAAAATTTGAACTCAATTATTACTCTTTTTTATTGTAAAATATATATAAATAATAATTATCATTTTAACCATTCATACATGTACAATTCAGTGGCATTAAATACATTCACAGTGTATGTAACCATTACCACTGTCTATAACCATAAATTTTTCATTATCCTCAACAAAAGCACTATAACCGTTAAACAATAACAACCTCATTTCCCTTCACCGCAGCCCCTATTTTCTGTCTCCGTGAATTTGCCTATTTTGGGTACCTCATGTAAGCAGAATCATACACTATATTTTTCTGTGTCTGGATTATTTCACTGGACATAATGTTTTCAAGGTTCATCCACTGTTACAATATGTAACAAAACGGCATTGCTTTTTATGGCTGAATAATATTCTCAGTGTGTATATGTCATATTTTGTTTATCCATTTATGGATACTTGGGGGGTTTCTACCGTTTGGCTTTTGCGAATGATGCTGCTATAAATATTGGCATACAAATATTTATTCAAATACCTGCTTTCAGTTCTTTTAAATGTATAGGTAGGACTGAAGTTGTTGGATCACACGGTAGTTCTATGTTTAACCTTTGAGAAACTTCCAGAGTGTTTTCCAGTGTCGTCTTGTTTTAAAAAATTATCATAAATTTTAAACATATACAGAGGTAGACATAATACTGTGAGTGTTTGTTGTACACCATTGAACTCATCCAGCTTTAGTATCACCTGTTACTGTATTTCATCTATACTTCTACCTGTTTCACCCTTTTCCATATTGTTTTGAAACATTCCAGATATTATATTATTTCACCTGTACATTATTTGTATGTGTATTTAAAACATAGGACTTTTATTCCTTAATGTCATTCTTTAATATTAACTATCCAGTCAACATGCAAATTTGCAATTGTCTTCTACATGTCATTAAAAAATCATTTTTAAGAATTGGAATTCGATCCAAATAAGGTCCACACTTTGCATTTGATTATGTCTCTGAAGTCTTATTTAATCAATAAGTTCTCTCTGTGTGCCTCTCTGTCTTTCATTTCTCCCCTGGAATTTTATTTTTTGAAGAAATCAGGTAGTTTGTCCCATATAGATTTTCATGATTGCATTCCCATGTGTTGTTAACATATTCTTTAGTCCTTTTATTGTAAATTGGTTGTTGGACCTAGAGGCTTGATCAGATTCAGGCTTGATTTTTTTTTTTCCAAGGTACTTTCATGAGTGATAATATGTTCTTCCACGGAGACATATAAGTAAATGCCTCTTTCTGTAGTATCAGCAGTCACTGATGATTGATACCTACATCCATTAATTCATTTGGGGCTTCAAAAATGGTGAATTCTTTTGTTCTTTTTTCATTCGTTAGCTGATTATATTTGTCAGAGGCATGATAGTTTTCAAAATAATGAGTGGATTTACTAATATTCTCCAGTGGTGCCCAAGTAGATTTTATTTTTGTTATTTTTTGTGTCATTATGGACTTTGTTGCAGTTATTTTTATTGAGGCACAAATTGAGGCCCTATCTTTGGCCAGTTGAAACTTCTCAGTTTGGCTCTTGAGTCCTTTTGACATGACATGACATCAGTTGTTCCTACACTATTTCAGTGGTCACACTTAGGAAATGTGTTTTTATGTTTATTTTTAATATAAAATATGTCATAAGTTCATACTGATACTTTTCCATTAAATTCAGAACTATAGGATTTTCATTTAACTTCTTCTGGCTTTTATCAGTATCTACTATCTCCTACCCCAAGAATACCACTTCTCAGTAGTGCCTGGTATTTGCTCTGTCTCACAATTGAAATCCAAGTTCTTCTGGCTCTATTCTATTTAAATCATAGTAGCTTGATGGCCCTTGAAATGTAAAATATTAGGTAGAACTATTTATACAATATTTTGTTACATTCATTCACATAAATTTTGCTTTCAGTTTTGTATACCTATTGCCTATTCATTCTGCAGTTTTAATGAAAATCAAGTGATACTTTCTGGTTGAAGCAGCTTTGGAAAAAATGGCTCTCATCAGAATTACTGACAAACTAAGTTTATTATAATCTCTTGGTTTATACTCTGGCTCTTCTAATTAATTTTTTTATTTCCCTTTTTTTTTTTTCATGGTTTTGCCTTATAGGACTTACCAGAAACTATTCCTTACTTAAAAATTTATACAGTTGGGCATCAGGTACCTGATGATGACACTATTTTTAAATTCAAATGTGCTGTTAATGGGTTTTTGAAAGAAAATAAAGATAACGGTGAGTTTTTTTTTTCCCTACCTGAACTTTGGTTTGCATTTTGAATGGGGTTGGGGATTTTTAATATTTTTAATAGTTCTGACATTCAACCTGTTGTGTTAGATCATGTGGACATATCAGGGGGTGCTAATGGAGTAAGGTGTTTTTCCTTTTTATGGTCGCAAATAAACAATTTAGTTTGGAAACTGAATTTAGTGCGAAATATGAACTGAACTAGCTCACTCATCTCTTTTTTTAAAAATTTGAACGGAAAATATGTAATAAAATAAAAATGTTCTTTTGTCTTATTTGTTGGTTAAGAGGTGAGAGTTGGGTGGAAGAAAAGATCAGAATCTCAGCATCTTAGAGTATGTAGAAGAAAGAAAAAAGGCACGGTTTGGAGTGAGATAGACAGCTAGAAGCAGAACAAAATGGAATGGACCAGTGGAGTTGCATCCTCATCAGACATATTTAGGATATTTCTGCTGTTTTTCCACGTTGGGTACAAGTAAGGAATGACACTACCATCTCTTATTCTTAGACTTCAGACAGGAAGAACTCAAAAGGGGTGGTGTTTTCTTGTTCCTGCTTTGAGATCTACCTTACTCTGTTGAAAATAGATCTTAAAAGCTTGTGAATTTTAAGGATTCAGTTGCCTCTTTCTGGCAACTACCTATCAGGAGGAATGTGATATTGCTATATTTTAAGACACGTATCTTTTTTCTTTGGAAAAGTGTTTGTTTTGCCCTCTTTCTAAATTTAGTTTAAGGAATATACTCTTAAGTATATATATGTATGTATATATATACACACACACATACACCATATATATATATATAAATGAACAGGGAGTAGATGGAGCTGGGAAAATAGGGAATGGGAGGTGAGAGAGAGATGAGACCAGTGGGTTTTAAGATAAATTTTCAAACTGTAACATGGTCGCTTAATGTAGGTACTAGCTATTAACTATCTTAAGCCTGGTCACAGACCTCCCTTGTACTTTAAAACTTGAGAGGCTGGACTTTGCCTTTGATAAGCACAGCATCTACAGGGGAGGTAAATTATCATTTGTATAAACCACAGTCATAAAAACATTACCTCTTAAGTTGTTAGAGTCCAACTGTTGGCCTGCTCACCGTTTCCAGGCTCCTTTGTGGGAAACCATTTTATACAGTGTTCCATCTGTATGAGATCCGTATGAGAACATGAGAACGTATTTGTAATTTTGGTTGTTCACCTGTTACACTAAGTGTAGTCTATTGCGTAGGCTGACCCCCACATTGGTCCTCTGCTTGTGTTATGCTGACTTTACTGTGTCTTGCAGTGCTCCCTGCCATAGCGGTCCTGGGATCTGGCTTATGATCCATTTGGCTACCTCTGCTATACGCCCCTCCTACAGATACCAAACTCACTGATGAAGGGAGAGCCCTACACAGTCCACTCCCTAGAACTGGTAGGGACTCAGAAAATAAATTGATTCAGTAACCACTTGAGAGCCTTTTAGGTTTAGGATTAGGGTACAGGGATTCAGAGGTGAATAGCAGTCTTTGTTCATTAGAAATTCATACTTATTTAGGAAGAGAAATGTGGTAATTATAAGACAGTGGGTTAATTATAATAAAAGAATAAATTAAATGTATTGGGAATATAGAAGAGAGATTGAGGAAAGCCTTCCTGAGGAGTCAGTGTTCGAGCTGGGCTGAGTGAAAAAGGATTTTGCCAGAGGATTTTAAAGGACAACTCAGGTATTGGGAACAGGTACAAAAGGCTCAGGACTTGAATTTGTAGCATGGAGAGGTGGTTTCTGGTGCCACTAGAGAGTAGTCTGAAAGGGCATAGAATTCATATGTTCATTTTCAACAAACATTTATATAACACCTTTGAAGTTGAAGGCACTGTTGTAGGAAGTAGGAACAGGAGAAAGTTCTTGCCTTTATATACTTTACATTCTGGTGGCAGAGAGAGAGAGAAAGGAGTGAATATATGGAATGTCAGATGGTGATAAGTGCTTTGGAGAATAACAAAACAGAATAAAGAAAGAGGTGAGAGAATGTAGTAGGTGATCAGGGAAGACCTGACCGTTAAGATACCATTTTAGCAGAGCCTTCATGGAAAGAAGGAACCAAGCCATTGGATATCTGGGAAGACAAGGCAGGTAGTGTTCTAAAGCAAAAGGAAGAATAGGTACAAAGTCTCTGAGGCATGACTGTCCTCAGCATGTTTGAGGAATAGTGAGGAGGCCAGTGCGACTGGAGAGGGGAGAGTGAGTGAGGTCAGAGCAGTAGAAAATGAGATCAGAGAGGTAGGCAAGAAGCAGGAGGGAGGTGTGTCATGTGGGTCCCTGTAAGTCATAGTTCAGATCATTGTGCACTTAGAGTTCAGTTGGAGAGACAGATTGATATTCGTTTATTAAGAGTTCTAAATGCCGTGCCAAACATTTGGGCTTTAATCTATGCAAAACGAAGATTTGTAAGCAAGGGAGCAGCCCAGTCAAGTGTATATTTTAGAAAGGCAATATCTTCCATGTGGAGGATCAGTCAAAATAGAAGAGATTAGATGTAGGGAGTTAGTAATCTAGGCAGGAGATGACAAGTACCTTCCTATCAGACACCATCTAGTCATAGGCATAAATTTTGCAGAGATCAATTACGTGTGGTGGTTTTTATAATTTCTCATAATTTTTTAAAATGATGGACTAAGAAATCCTAATGCATAGTTGGAAAAATCTTAAGATTTGATTCTCGTCTTTGTTCTATTCGCCTGCTGTGTAACCTGGGCTTACATCACCAAGTCTTGCTTTTATAGTTTACCTGAGTACGTACTTCACAGGACACATAACCTGTGGCAGGTGAGAAGCAGCAAATGAGAGAGGGCATGGAAGCGCCCTGGGAACTCAAGAGTACTACCGAAACTGTACTTTCTTTTTAATATTCAGTATTAAAAGTGAAGGCATTCCATTTGTTTCACTCAGAAGCAAATTTCATTCTTTTTATAGCCTGTTTTTCTTTACCTCCCTTTTTCTATAATTAATTCAGTTATGATGAACACTCTATATTAAGACAAATGGGTTTGTGTTAATGCATTTTTACTGTTAGTACCTGACCAGGCCTTCACCAGTTTATACTATTGTGTCTAATTGAGGGCTATGCAAAATTTCTCAGAGACAATGAATTTTGACTTTATATTAGATAATTCTTTATAGTATGTTCTTAAAAAACCATACTTCTCTTCAGAGTTATTTTCGGGGTAGTGGTAGAATTGTGGTAACTAATAAATGTTACTCTTCAAAAAATTGTATAAGTTGTTTTTAGGGTATCTACTTCATTTAACTCTGTTTTCTTTGTTTTATAGACAAACTTATTGGTGTTCACTGTACCCATGGTTTAAACAGGACTGGCTACCTCATCTGCAGGCGAGTGGCCAACCCCAAGAGGCAGACCGTGTTTAAGTTGTTTTCTTTAAATAGTAATGTAATCAAGTTGCAAAAATGCAATCAGTGTAGAAATGTATGAAGTAGGAAACAGTCTTGTCCCTCATTTAGATTACCACAATAATAATTTAGTGCCTTTTTTTTCAGACTTAAAAAATGCAGCTATAAGCAAATATGTCTAATTTAATAGTATAATATTTAGACATTCTGTTTTATAATTGCATATATGGTGGACATCTTCCTATGAAAGTATTTGGAGACCTCATTCTTTTTAAAGACATTGTTCTTTTGCTTATTGATGAATATAAAGTCAGAAGATTTTGATATAAAACATTGAAATACTGAATATTCCTCTGTGAACACCTTTGAATATATGTGTTATTGTCTCAGAAATAATTTAACTTGGAATGGAACTTCTGAATCAAAGAGTGTATGCCCTTATGCTTTTTGTGGATGTTGCTACAGTGTAGTGATTTCTGTTTGTTCAGAAAATATTTATTGAATTTCTCTTATGTGTAAGCACTATGCTGGATGCTAGCAAAAAAACTTGGGAAACTTCATGAACAAAGAGACTTGACCTGCTCTTTGTGGACTCTAACAGTCTAGAGAGGGAATACCTATTCAAGAATCACACAGATGCATATAGAATTACAGCTCTGACCATACCAAGAAGAAGAGGAACGTGGTACTATGAGAGCATATTAATAGGATTTAACTGCATCATGGAGATTAGAGAAGGTTTCCCTGGGTATGTTTGAGCGGATATCTGAAGGATGAGTAGGTATTAATAGGATAGGGACATTGAGGAGAGAATTCAGGAACAGTAAAGACCCTATAACAGGAAAGCATATGCTCTTGTTGGAGTAATTGGCCAGGGAGGCTGGACCAAAGGGGAAATATGGCATTAAAATGGAGCTGGAAGTATGGGTAGCAGCTAGATCATGGAGGCTTATTTTTAAGGTTTTGGACTTTAACTTAGGAGTGATAGAATATCATTGAACTTTTTTTGTTGAGGGTGAGTGTGTGGAACATAATCAAGTTTTTACATTTTCAACCTGTCATTTTGATACTCAGTGTGAATACACTGCAGGGGGCCAAAGAGAAAACCAAGTAGACAAGTTAGGAGGCTTTTGTGGAAATCAAAGCATGATGGTGGCTTGGACCAGGGTGTAGTGGTCATTTCAGTGGAAAGATGTGGACATATTCTAGGGATATTTAGGTAATATCATTACTATTGATGGTGGTTGAAGATGAGAGTAAGGAAGAAATGGCTGACAGTGATGGTGACTCCTAAGTTCCTGGACCATACTTTCGGTTAGATAATATTTTTTAGATATGATAATAGTATTTTTCCCATTTGTCTTTTGCTATTTGTTGATTCCTGGTAAATACTCTGTCATATTAAGTAAGTTTCTTCTTTCATTTATTAATTAATTTGTTGTATTATAGTCAATAATTTTATTAATAATTTTCTAAAGTTGAGACATTCTTGCAATCTTGGAATAAAACCTTTTTTGTGGTCATGGTGTATTATTCTTTAATAATTTTTGGATTGGATGTGCTGATATTTTCCTAGGATTTCATATCTATATTTCTAAGTGATTTGAATCTTTTCTGAAAATTATTCATGTTTTTCTTTTTATATATAAATGACTCAAGTTATGTTGTTTTGTTAGATATTTGATTGATGTAGAAGACATGAGGCCAGATGATGCAATTGAATGTAAGTATGAGGGTTGTCACTGTTTTTCCCTTTTTATAAAAGTTGAAGGTAGAAATGTAGATGAATTTCTAAAATTTTATGAAAAAAAAAAAAGGATTTTAATTCATTTGTTCTGACATAAGATAATCTATAGCCAAAAGTTTATGAAGGGATGTATCTGGAAATAGTGAGATATAACAGCCTGCATAATTAGTCAGTGGATTTCAGCTTTGATCTGCTTTCTCTGGAAAAGATTTACTTTTTGTTTAGTTATCTATAACAGTTTTTCTACTTCTTAGTATTCAATAGGTGCCGGGGACATTGCTTAGAGAGACAAAACTACATTGAAGACCTTCAGAATGGTCCCATCAGAAAGTAAGTTGCATTTTATATGTGAGATTTGTGGTAGGAGATCTGTTTTTACATTTAAGTTACACATACCCCTTCTTCTTGTAGCTTGTGTACCTGCTCAGGGAAACCTAAACAAATAGTAATGGGGAGAGGGAGAGACGGGGAGGATGGGATTGTTATTTCATGGGCCGAAATATAGACACTCAATTGGCTACTAAAATTGGAAACCAGTAACACTGTATGTAAAAACATTCTCTTCCAGGGACTGGGATTCCAGTGTGTCTAGATCAGGTGGCTGTCACTACTCGACATGTGTTCACACCACTAAGCACATCGTTAACCGAAGACCAAGAAATAACATGCACTGGGCCCAGGGCCACCCAACACCTCCTCGGCATTTCCACTCCCGGACCCAAGACATGCTGCAGTCAGTAAGGTATCTTTGCTTTCCCTTTTTCTAGAATCAAAATAGGAGTGAATAATGTTATTAATTAGTACAAACACATTATGATAATGGTGAGGACTTGGTGCTTTCTTGCTGATCAGTGTCAACCAGGAGGTATCTTTTGCTCCATATTTTGCATTTAGAGTTGGAAAATCAAGTATAGGGTGGGAAAAGTGTGATTTTTCAGAGGCAATTAGGAATCGGACTTAGAAATTTTCACTGATTCAAAACTTAGTTTAACCCAACAACAATTTGGTGACTGCCAAAAAGGATCCTACATACTTTGGCTACATTAATAGTGGTATAGTTTTCAGAATAAAGAAGGTTGTTATTTAAAGAGGACATAGAAATTACAGGGGAAATAGTAAAATTTCAGTAAAGAAATTTGCAAAGGATTCGAACAGATAAATCACAAAAGAGTTTTCACTTGGGAAATGGGAAAAACAGTTATGATAGCCTATTCTTAGCCTTTTAATTTAGCGATAGCTTTTGATAAAGCAGTCCAGTGTAATGGTTGTCAGGCTAGACCTGGATTTGCATCCTGGCTCTGCCATTCACCTACCGTGTGATCTTGGATAATATCTCTAATTTCTACTTTTTTGTCAATTTGATGGAAATGTTTACTTACTCATAGGGATTGTTATTGACTATTACATGGAAGTACTTTAGCACATTGTATGTAAACACTTTCAAAAAGATGTTGGCATTTTTAGAAGATGTAAACTTTTTAAAAAAATATTGCTTGTGTTGCCAGTGGCTTGTGTTGCCAGTGACAGTTGGTATCCTTTTGAAACGTAATTTTAATAGCTGTAAAAATGCTTCTACCTGGTAATTCCATATTTAGACTGGTACTGCAAAATATGGAGAAAGTTAAATTCAGTCATTCAGCACATTTCTCAAACCTCCCTACTATGTATCAGACACTGGACTACGTGCTCAGGATATGATATTACGTGTTCTGAGATGGTATTCCCAGCATTATTTATAGTAGTGAAAAAATAGATAGTAGCTTGCATAACTAACAATAGAAAATAGGTAGGCAAATTATTATGTCTATACTGTGACATTTTATAAAGCCATTGAAAGTGATAGGTCACTTATAGTAAGTGAAAATAATTGGTT